TCTCCTCCTGTGCCCGTACCTCCCACGATGGAGAAGTGAAACACAGCTGAGGAGTTTGATCTTTGCCTTCCTCCTAAATTTAAATACAATGAATGCCACTTTCATGATTGCCTGGAGCTTTATTCTGTCAGCAGGATTTTAAAACGAAGTTGATCCTCAACAATGGAGTTCGTGGAGCCTCAACACTAGACTTTATTGGAGTGAGACTGAGAATTTTGGTACAATTTGACTTACACTGAATTTCAGCAGACAAAGTCTAATGGCAGTTTAATGAAGTGATGTAACTTGGCACTTCATATAGAAACTTTTATTCCCACCCGTGAGAAAAATCTGATGTAATTCTTCCAGATCTACTTATTTCATTCATATTATTTAGATCCAACCATTTTTGTAAGACAAGTCTAACACTTGCTTGGTTTTTCCCCTAATCATCAGACATAGATATCAGCAACATGTAATCTGCGCAGCAAAGAGATCAAAAGGGTACTGTGTAAGAAACCTCTGTGATTTTTTATGGAGGCAACTGGGTTTTACGGAGGCACTGAAAGTTTAAATCAAAGTGAGGAAGAAAGTGATCCATCAGACTTGAATACAAGGAAAGAACACAGAACATTAGAGGACTGGAACTTCCCTAAAATGTCTATTTTTGACTAACTAACTCAATTTTCTCTGTGAATTACCTGTCATCATTAGACTGCCACAGTTACATTTGTAGACAAATGACATAAGTATGGAAAACTTTTATTTTTGACATTGATATTTCTTACTGTTGCATTTTAAATGAGAAAATAATCAAACTATTAGAAAGGCATCCAAAGATAAAAGAAAAAAAAAAAGAGAGGGCATGCAGTGTCATCCTGGCTTTATATCTACAGCAGTTAGGAAAAAAAAAACCAAAGGTAGCCTCCTAGGCATGTTGAATTGAAGAAATTTGTGATAACTGGCCACTTGTAGTCTTCAAAAATTCTCATCTTGAGCTCTTATGTGTGAGGGAAAGGAAGAGTAGGGATCTATATGGCTGATATTAGAATAACCACCATTTTCCACAGACTGTACTAGTGCTTGTTAGAAAAAATTATGACCAGCAAAAAAAAAAAATCAGACAGAGGACTTTGTACTTCATGTCTCTAAAAACTGCCTACTGGGATTTTTTTTTTTCTGTACCATTTGCTTTTCTGCACTGTAATTTTTAAGCCTTTTTTGAAGATCAATCTTATAAGTTAGAGTGAGGAATGGTTTCCTCAGTGATCAAGCAAAGAGTTTCTGATCAGTTTAACGAGAAATTCAATCACTTTGCTGAATTTACTATACATGATATTAATGGAAAGTTTCCTTATTGACAGCGAAGAGGGCACATGCAATAAAAAACTGAAAAGAGAAAATACATGAGTTCTCTGAGCTTATCTTCAGCTATCGTTGCAGAAGTTGTTTGGTTTTTTTAAGGGATGGGAGAAACAGCACAGGTAGAGAGGGCACACACTGCAATGCACATCACTGTTTTGTGGGAGAAGGGAAAGTTTTACGTATCTAGGAGCAGCAGTCTGATAATGCAAACACAAAATGCGCTCCCTGACCACTGTCTGGGTTTTGCATGAATGCGTCTACTAACGTTTTCTCCCAGTTGAAGTTGTTTAGTTTTTCCCATGGACCTTATTTACAAGTAGCACATTTTAGCCCATAGATATTGGGTGATAGACATCTGACCTTAGAAGGGAAGTCCAAAAAAGTTCTGTCAGAATCACCTTGCAATACTGAGAGCACTGTATCAACTTGTCTACCTTACCAAAAGCCGTAACAATACAATGAATTAGAAGTAGCAGCCTTGTTTAATCTGAAAATGATGACATTAAGCTGAACAGCTGCCAAACCTACCAACGTTTCTGAAACCATTTTCCACAGTTCAGTAGCCTTAAGCTGTATTTGTAATACACATATACAAATGTAATAATGTGATTTTTAATGACAGTGTACTCGAATGTCTTACATGTATGTATTACACAAAGACATTCTTATATCATTCAATATACTACAGCTTTGGAACATCAATGCTAATACGAAGCAATTGGCCCAAAATAATAAAAGCAAGTCTTTCTACTTTTTTCAGTAAGATTTTTCCCACATTTTTTCTTTCCTTCCAATATCCCCTTTTATACCTTTTCTTCACCAGAGTTGAAAACCATTTACATGCTGATCTATCACCATTGTCACCTCTCTTCCTTGCTCTCTGTTTCACTTTGGTTGCAAGATTGAACACTAAGGTAGTACCTACTCTAAATATGAGGCCAGACTTAATGTGCTAGAAAAGCTAGCACTTACTCTTATTATAACGTTAAACTTCACGTGTCACAAAAGCAATGCTTGCAGTAATGGACCATATCTGCACCCAGAAAAAAAAATCAGGAGCAAATCAAGAGCAAATTAAGAATATAATATCAAATCTCTACTCTCTCTATATTACACATCATTATCAAGATAAAGTTCTGCATTTCTTTTGAAACACACAGAGTTAATAGAAAATCTGGAAATCTCAATCAAGGTTCTGCTGATAAAAATCAGCATCTGAGTGTAATGAACAGATGGAAGTAGTTGTCAATCAAACAGCCTTGACTTGCCCTTTTGAGACTCTCTCTCTCCATTGAGCCTCCCCTGCTTAATCTTGGAAAATTATCTTACCTTTCAGGAATTGCTTCTGTCTTTATCCATCATGATTCACATGCAGAAATGGTGGGAAATGTATTCATTCAGATCTCTGCCTACATAGATTTAGATGGCTTGCTACGTTAAGATCCTAGATGTAAATAGGTTCAATAGAAAGTGGCCAGCCATTTCTCTTCATATGATTCCCTAGCAGTCACAATGCTTGCAAGAACATGCACTTAAGTTTCTTAGCTTAAGCTCCCTCGCAGTACAGCACCAAATACCTCGGAATTACAATTTAACAACTCCCCCTACACATTGGGGTGAAATCCCAGCCTTAATGAAACTCTCAGTCACTCCAAAGGGGAGGGATTTCTCCTTTAAGTTATTTACATTAACTCTTAATCCAGGATTATATTCTGCTTAATACATGAACTACCTCTCACCTTTTATGCCATCAAGTTTGGCAATAACCACTATTGACAATATTACTTCGACTCTTTAAGGTACTTATATCTAAAATGAGAATAAAAAAACCAGTGCTATGCCTCCATTCTCATATTGAAATGGCTTAAGCAAGCAAGAAAAAAGGGCTATGTTGAGATCTTAACAGCCGTTATTTACTAAGATTGTTCAATCCTCTACTTAAAGGACCAACATTAAACAACATAAAGAACAGAAAAATCATCAGAAAAACACTTGGGCATGAACCATCTATAGTTTCGAAAGGGCTGCTATCTAATTAATTTTACCATTACAGTCAAGTTTACACTTGCTTAAAGAAAACATGACAAATTCACTTATTGATGTTGCCATATATGATATGATCTCATCAAAATGTGACTAAGCCAGAAATCATGAATTTAAAACATAGGCCAAATCCCGCCTTCCTGATTCATGTATGAGTTTGATGTAGCAGAAATTCACCCCTTGATTAACTCTATCAAGTAAGAAAGATCCAGCACACTGAACTACTACACTCAGGAGTTTAAACTGCGAAATATTTGGCCCAAACTCTCTCAATAATGCAAGATATAATCTACTCCATGTAGCCAAAGCAAATCTTTATTGATAAAAGCAGCTTTATGCAAATATTTAGCTGTAAATTACTTCTAGGGCTTTGGCACTGCAATGTTCAGACATCTATTTAGAATTACTATTTTGTTCTTTTTGGATGTTTATCAGATATCTTATCAGATAAAGCTTTGTTCATGTGAATCTAATTATTCAGGGTTTTGCTAAATTCTTTCCTGTTGGAGCTTATTGCAAACTCTTTCATTTTCCGAATAACCTGAGTGATTCCAAACAACTTTTGCTAGAAGAGGAATAAATTAATGATCAGGAGCTCAGAATCCTTTTGGTCTTCAAAGGATTTAAAATATAGAATTTAACTCTTCCCCTCTCCTGCTTTGAAGTGGGTCATGTTTAGTAAAGCAACTTAGCCTCAGGTTTCTTCAGAGCTAGTGCATTTTAGTATTCTGTATAATGCCAGAAGTTCTAATAGCTTAAAACATTACCAAACAACGGTAGTTTGAAGACTTCTGTTTTAGAACAAAACCACATAACTGAGTAAGATTTTTCTGCAAAAATTAACATAGTATCTTTCTATTTACAGGCCTCAAAGCTAGAACTATTATTCTATTCCAATACTAGCCAGAATGAAAGACAGAAAAGTTGAGAGAAAAATCCATAGGAAAAAGGCCTGGGTAGGAAAAACTCAAAACATTCTTTTTACATCTTTTTAATTACTCATGGTCTTTTTAGTTACTCACTAAACTCACTATAAACTTAGCCAATTTAAGAGAAGATCATTAATGCCACATAGGCTTCTCCCATTTCACTGATACTTCTTAAGAAAGACTGAAGAAAGAAAGGCACATGATCTAAATCAGGAAGGAATATGTTTTCATTTCAAAAGAATCTGAATTAATCAATTTTTATTAATATCAAAATGAAAATAGAAATATCAGTTGCATATATTGACAATTCATCAGTATCAATATATCTCTAAGAAAAGTATAATTTTAATAAAACAGGTTTTCCTGAAGACATCAGGGAAAAAAAACAAACCTGAAAACCAGACCTACTCTAGTCCACAGAAGATGGAAAAATAACTAAGAAATTTCCTTGCTTCTTCTACTTTAAGGCAATAATCCTAATGGATATAATACTCTGATCTTGTTAAAAGAGTGTACATGTAAACCAGAATTATATCCTCATGAACAGTTACTCAGTAATAAGTAATTTCAGAGCTCACTGAAAAGTTAGGACACAAATTTTAACTACTGGAGGAAGGACCTTAACAGCAAAGCAGCAGAAAAATAATAAAAATACTAGTACTAAATATAAAGTTGTTTTCCTACCTGTGTGCAGACAAGTTACTGAGGTACAGGGTGTATTTTTCTTCAGCAGATAGCCCATCCATCATCAAGTGAAAAACATGAAAATTACTCTGGTTGAGAGGCTGCATAATGACACGAGACTTCTCCAACATGTATGTATAAATCCTAGCTGATTGAGAAACAAACAAGTATATTCATCATTATACTGATTGCTCTAAACTTATGTATTTTCATCATTCATCACTGCAACAGTGAAAAACAAATGGTATTTCTTATAAAACAGTCTGAGGTGAGCATATAAACAATATTATGGTTCATTCTACCATGGTTTTCTATATAAATCATGTATAAAGCCCTAATCCCATGAAAATTAGTGGAACAAATGTCTTTACTTACTTACTGTCTTACATTATCTTTAAAATGACTCAATTTTAAAGATAATATTGTTGATTTGCACTCTGTTTTACTTACTTGAAGAACCAGTTGTCGTATTTGGCAATGCTTTCTAAGAGACAAGCTATTAGTCATCTCACTGAACTTGCAGCCCTCTGAGCATTGGCATTATTCTAAGCTCCTTCTTAATGGAAAAAGAAAGATGCAAGAGAGATTCAAGATATCTTGGAAAAACTGCCCTTGGAACCATTTTGTTTTGCTCTGTTGGCAATCAAGAGCACTCAGATTAATAGTTCAGATTAACGACCTAACTTCTAGATGGCTACAAAGAGACAAATCCTCTGTAGAGTTGGTCATCAACAAGCTCACCAACCTGTATCTGGGAAAACATGGGAAGCCACACTAATGCCCATCTCGGATGAAGGTGAAGGAGGATGGGCTTCATTATGATTTGCCTACAGAAATGCTGATTTAGGACAAGGGGAAATGGGTTTAAGTTGAAGGAGAATAGATTTAGACTGGATCTTCGGAAGAAATTCTTCAGTACGAGGGTGGCAAGATTTTGGAATAAATTGCACAGAGATGTGGCTGCCCCCTCCCTGGAGGTGTTCAAGGCCAAGTTGGACGGAGCCTTGAGTAGCATGATCTAGTTGAGAGGCATCCCTGCCCATGACAGGGAGGTTGGATTAGATGGTCTCTAAGGCCCCTTCCAGTCTAGGCCATTCTATGATTCTATGATCACACATAACCTCAGGCCCACTAAGGTTCTGTAAGAGGCAAAGCACAGAAGCAAAGGAAATACTGGACCCTCAGATCCATTCACCTGCTTCACGAGATTACAGGCGTTTTAGAAGTGTATGTGAAGAGACAGAAGGTGATTCACTGGTTTGGGCAGAATACTCTTCATTCTGCCACTGAGTGCACACCACCATGCAGTTCCAGATGCAGCAGGCTGAAGAGAACATGGGAAAAGCTAGCTGGAGCTAGAGGTCAGGGCCCGCTGTGTGAGCAGGGACCTGATTACAGTCTCCAGTTCCCCGCTGTTTGTATAATTTGTCTCATCATTGCTTAAATGCTGGCTGTGGAATGAAGACCAGAAGCATGTCCCTTCACATATGACTGAGCACGCCCACGACTAGGATGCACTATATTCTGTTGCAGCTTTATACCTTTCAGTCCCTGCAATATGGCAGAGCTTTTCGCAAGGTCTTAGCAAGCAACTCTACCTTGGAAAAGGCTGTTGAGTTTAGAGTACAAGGTGCACTTTTCAGCAATGGAGGAGTTATATTTTTGAAAACTCATAAAAGGAGTATATTAAACCACAGCTTCCTGTACTCTGGATGACAACCAACTCATCTAAGACTCCATCCTTTATGAAATGGAAGCTCTTGAACATTCAGTGCTACAGAATACTGGTACGTAGCACAGTAAATATGTTCTCTAAGCACATACCATTTTTGAGCTGCACATGATTTTTATAATTCTTAAATTTTTTTTACTTTTTTGAAGGAAGTTGGGATCAAGCATAAAATGGCACTGAGTTATTCAACAGGCAAAACTTGCATTTCTAGGCACACGCAGAAGCACAACTTCAGGTGCTTAAAAGACTTAAGTCAGAAGCAGAGTGGGAGCTTAAAGACTTCTAAAGATGGGTGCAGTTGAAATAGTATTTTTTCAAAAGCATTTTTGAACACAAAGGTATCGCTTAATGCAGTGCTGAGCAAAGTAATGCAAGTTAGGCCTCAGCATATGGGGGCATGCATCAGAAGCATGGTAGTTGCATTAGCCTAACAGCTAGGCTAGAAGACAGAATATCATTGTTCTACCATCATACATCTTCTAATATCCACAGCGGTTGATTCAGAGATAGCTTGGTTATTGTTATATTATCTGTATTTGTCTGGTAATTACATTTTAAATTTCACCTAAGTATCTTCCTATCTTTAGGAGAGCGCTGTGTTTCTGTCTATACTGTTAAACACAGTAAATTTGAAGTTACTTGAAGGTGTGAGTGTAAGGGAATGCAGCCTATGAGAATATTGTTGAAAGACAGTGTAGAGTGGAGGGAAAAAAACCTGGTGAATCTTGAGCATACTGTTTTGAGAAAGGTCTCTGCAGTTAAGTGCTGCACATGAACTAAATATAACTATGCACGGTCTCGTAAAGTGCTACTCTGCACAGATCAAACTATCCCAGACACATCCCAGTTAAGCAGTCAGTGGTACACTACCTAGGGGCATCTTCCACCCTTTCTTTTATTTAACAGCATAGGCATTGCCTCACACATGTGATGGCCGTGCAAATTGTGCCTGAGATTCTAGCTAGAGAAGAGAGTAGGATGCATCTGGGGCTGCATCAAAGGAAGTGGGGCCAGCAGGTCAAAGGAGTCGATGCTGCCCCTCTGCTCTAGTGAGACCCCAGCTGCAGTGTTGTGCCCAGCTCTGTGGTCCCAGGCATGAAAAGGATACAGATCTGTTGGAATGGGTCCAAAGGAGGCCCTCAAACATGATCAGAGGGTTGGAGCACCCTCTCTATGAGGACAGGCTGAGAGAGTTGTTGACTTTTCAGCCTGCCTGAAGAGAAAGCTCCAGAGAGACGTTATAGAGGCCTTCCAGTACTGAAAGGGGGCAACAGGCAAGAATGGGAGGGACTCTTTATCCGGGAGTGAAGTGATAGGACAAGGGGTAAGTTTCAAACTGAAAGAGGGTAGATATAGATTAGATGTTAGGAAGAAATTCTTTTCTCTGAGGGTGGTAAGGTGTTGGGAAAGGTTGCCCAGAGAAGCTGTGGATGCCCCCTTCCTGGAAGTGTTGAAGGCCAGCTTGGATGGGGCTTTAAGTAACCTGGTCTACTGGGAGCTGTCCCTGCCCATGGCAGGGGAGTTGGAACTAGATGATCTTCAAGGTCACTCCAACTCAAACCATTCTATGACTCTATGATTCTATTACTGACAAGGAAGAGTTGTACGGCTGACTTGTTGAACCAAGGAGACATGATCTTGCCCATTTAGTCATCCTACAAAAAGTAGAAGTGAACTTCTGCTATTACAGAACCTATATTATGAGAAACTGTGTATCAGTCACCTAGTCCTCTGTTGCTACCCTATGGACAGAAGAATTGTGCTGGAAGTAAAAGCACATGCTTGGGAAATCACTAAGCTGGTAGCAGTTTCTGGCTCCAGTAGCTTTGCAGCACACTACAGACTGAAGCAATGCAATCTTAAACTGACATGGTAGGACTGGCCCAGACACACACTTTAATCAGAATCAATCACTACCTGGCTGCCATTCCTACAGGGTAAGAGAACAGGCAAAGCTGCAGAATGATTTCCATCTTTTATTGTGCTTTTAACTTATTCCTCAGTAAAACTAACTCTACCATCAATTTGAAATTTGCCCATTATTAATCTTTTATCACTTTTTTGTGTGTGCAATGATCTTCACTAAGGCTTTCACAACTATCGCTCAGGTGTTTCTAACAGTCATTAATTAATAAATGCAAGAAAAATGTTACTGGAGGTTATCTATCTGATTAATTTATACATTTATATTTAATAATGGGCAACACCACTTATTTAGATGATGAAAGCTAATTCAGTCCTTTTCAGGTACTTAAAGTCACCCACTTTAATCAGGCCAGATACAGTTCATCTCATCATCTTCAGAAATAGGAAGAACTATTAAGAAAAGTCAAGTTTCTAATCAGCAAGAATCAAACACAGCATCATCTTAATGGAGTCAAAGTAACTCATAAAGAAAACTAGCATGGTAAAATGCTTTCCTACAAAGTGTAATTATATGCTCATTAATCTACATGTGAAATAAAAGGGAAAAAATAACAGTGTTCTAGAGCAAAGTCTGCCATTTTTGTGCGATGTTAATTGTGCTTACAGGCACATGGAAATTCATACTTCCTTTTAACGGATAACTTGGTCTACTGAGCAGCTACAAAGTCAGCAAATAGACTCTGTATTGAAAGTGTGGGCAATGAAATCTTTCTTCCAGCTACGCATTCTTTGAAACTACATTGCTCTTTCTCAAAACCCACGCTGTCTTAAACAGAGCTATTCCTAAAGACAAAATAACATTTGAAAGTTTGGAGTTGAAACACTATACAGAAACACATCACAGACCTTAGCTGGCTGTGGTCTTTCTTACACAAAACAAGGAAATTAATGTCTGAAACTTTTTAATTGATTTAAAAATTGTAGCTCTCACAGGGAAATACACAGTTCTGTCTCTTTTTACAAATCAAATTAGATCCTTCCATTCAACAAAATAGGCCTTGCTTTTCAAAAAGTGAAGACTGAGAAAAGCAAGGCCTAAAAAGTAAGGTAGAAAGATCTGGAGAATAAGTTTGTCAGGCTTGATTTTCTCTTTCTAACCTTATTTTTAGTAAACTGAAAAAAATGACAGAAGCTTTACCTTTCATCTTAGGAATTATGTCAACTTACCTGAAAGAACATTTTCTCTTTCTCTTTCCAAATAAAAATAAAATGCAGTAATTTCACTTCTGGCAATAAATAAATAATCAATCTTTTACTACTATGCAGTGCATGTGAGCATTGCCTATGAATGATTATGATTTTTCAGCAGAAGATCAGTCTTTGAGTTCTGTTAGTTATGAATTCATTTTAGAAACTTAATAAAATCACTGGCCTGTAGTTTATTCTGTAACTGCTCTCATGTAAGACTTTACTAGTTCCCACTGTCTTATCTTATCCAGTCACAAAGAACAATGAATTAATCTGGATTGCACTTTCTTCGCTTGTTTGATGGAACTAAAGCAATGAAAAGAATCTGACCACAAAGTCACTTGTCACAGAAAACCTCCCATTTGAAGCCAGCATCACAGCACAGCTCATCAACAAAAGTCAGAGAAGACACATAAAACCTCTACAGAGGTTTACAAGGGCCTGTAGCAATAGGACGGAGGCCAATGGTTTTAAACTAGAGCAGAGTAGATTTAGATCAGACATTAGGAAGAAGTTCTTTACAACGAGGCTGGTGAAAAACAGGAACAGGTTGCCCAGAGTGGTGGAGGAGGCCTCATCCCCTGAGGCATTCAAGGTCAGGCTGGATGGGGCTCTGAGCAACCTGATCTAGTTAAAGGTGTCCCTGCTCACTGCAGGGGGGTTGGACTAGATGACCTCTAAAGGTCTCTTCCAGCACAACATGTTCTATGGTTCTATGATTCTATATCTGTGCTGGCTTCGAGTGGTACCACACTCAAGAGCTCCATCCTTGTTTTCCAAACTTTGTGGCAAAGATACAGTTTATGAGAAGGAGTGAATCAAGTCTGTAGATGAAAACTGTGGCCAATGTTTCTGTTATTTAGGTATATTGGACTTTCTGCTATAAGAATAAACCTCTTGTGATGAAAGATGGAGCATTTCCAGGGTGTAGGTATAAAAGAACTTCAGCATGAACAAAAATCTGTCACAAACTTCAACAATATCCACTCAAAATGCAAGGAATGCTACCTCTAGGTAGCTTGCCCCTTGTAATAAAAATGTACACATATACTTTGCACGCACCTTCCTTAGTAAATTGTCCTGGATATCCACCCTTAAGATCTATCTGTTAAGGAGTTTAAACAAACTAAACCCTTTGGTGAAGATAGCCCAGCGTTACTTGGATTTCTGTTTACAAATCAGACATTTAGCCCAGTTTGCCTCAATGACTTATAAAGTCATATCTCAGCAGAATCAGGTGCTCTGTATATTTACATTTTCTATTCATGTTTAAACAGTGGAAGTCAGTAAATACTGCTGCAAATGATCTTGCAAATAGATATGGAGAATCACTATGTGGGATTTAAACCAGCCAAAGACAACATGTCTGAATCTTTCATCATTTATGGTAGCGTAAATATGAGACAATGTTGCTCAGAAGTGATGTTCAGCATTGGCAACATCTAGAATGCAAATCAAACAGCATCCTACTTTTACTGCTGTACTGGGGCTTCTCATTTTTGGCTGTAAATTATGGAACTTTTGGCTACCTTAGATTTGATAAGAGTAATTGATTCAATTCTAAATATTTTGGGAATAGTAGGGCAGATGAGGAATGCTTATATTTGTTAATAGACTTGACTAACCCGAGATTTTCTCATTTAATATCTGGTTTTAAAACGATAAAAACACAGCATTAGTGTACCAGGAAACTGGCATGAGAGCCTGGTTAACACATTTATATTGTACAAGGGTTGTGAATTAAACTGGCAAGTCTGGGTAAAGCTGCTTAAAATCTCAAGTTCCTGCAATCTCAAGCAAAACACACAAAAACTGTGGGAGCACATGGCCTTGAGGCTTCCACTTCTCACCTGAGGAACTGAAAGACACAACCCTAGGTCATTTATCTTTCTGAAATGCTCAGAGTGATGAATACTGACTAACAATGCAGAAAAACTGAAGTAAAATCAGCATTCTGGTTTTAGAGCAGAATAAAATGGTACAAGCCACACATGAACCTAATGAAGGGAAAACAAACTACTTAGTAGCAGATCACTGAAGAAATGCAGTGGGGTTCTCTGCACTGAATGAAGCTGAGGAGGGGTGAAAAAACAACAGTATTAAATTTGTATACACAAGGCAATCCAAGAGTATAACTGACAACTTCAATTCTGGCACTTCATAATGCTCATAGGCTTGACTTTTCAAAATCAGTAACATTTTTATCTGTTTGCATTTGTGCTCTGTGTATGTAACAAAAAGAGAAAATGTAATTGTGATAACCAAATAGAATCAAATTAAATATATACAAAAGAAAAGGTTTATAAAACATTAGTTTTAGGGATTGAATTTATTTTTAAAAGCTGAATTCAGATGCTACTTAGTCCATTCTAATGTTTACATGACTTTCTTTATATTCCTCCCACAAGAGTTCATAAAAAAATTAATTTAGTTTTACAATTTCTTTACAAATATCCTATATTTATTGTAAAGTAAACCAGGAAAAAAATTATAGTAACTTCCCACACAGTGACATTTTCACTGAAGAAACTATTATATTTGCTAGGGTACAGTGAACTCTCTCACGGAAAGGTATTGTAATTCCCACCAGGAAATATTTCCAAAAAATGTTTTTAGGCAATGACAAAAAATGAGTAGTTGTGGAAATGTTTACCCAATGGAATCTAATTTACTTGGATCAAAAGTGTGTCTCACACACAACTTTTCCAGCCAGGAGGACTGGTGCAAGTAGGAAACTGTGATCAGTTATTTCTGCGCACAACTCTCACTTTAGCACAGAGTAATTTCATGATGACCTACACAAACCAGAAATGAAACATCTCCCTAACTGCCTCCAAAGATCAGAGTTTTCAGAATCAAACTACCTGAAGTTTTATCCAATACTCTTTTTTTTTTTTTTTCCCTAAGGAATACTTACTGGGGATTAGCAGCCTCCCACTTACTTAGAAAGCAGGCACAAATTCCACACCATCTTACCTCTATCAAGAATAAACATCAGTATGATTCTTAGTTCCTTTAGAAAAAAGTCAGAGCTGTAATAAATTACTTCTAATTTTAGTATTAGAGAGTATGCTTGTATTCTGGATGCCCTAAACGTACGAATTGAACATTTATATAAGGGATACCTAAAATATGTAACACACGCGTGGATACAATTTTCTTTTCTTGTCGTTCTCTGCCATCTAGTGGTTGCATAAAACGTGGTTCTCCTGCCTAACATCTCGAACAAGCTATGAATTCACATGCTTAACATTAAACATGTTTGACTTGACACCCCCTGAAAACCATCTTCCCTTTTCCCATTGATGCTGAGCTCTGCATATGGCACAGCGGGATCCCTGATCTACTAGATTGTGAGTGATATCAAAATGAACAGATTAAGTGATACTTACCTGCAATTAATGTTTTTTTCTTCTCACAAAACTGTAGCTCAAAATATTTTATAAAACAGCTGGATAAATCACTCAAGGGTGTCTTAGCATGTCCAAAGGCCTCCAGGATACAGTTTACCTGTAAGACAAGAGTAAAGAAGCAATTAGAGAAGACAAAAACTGGAAGACATTTCAAAAAAACATTACTGAGGCTGGTTTATGATCCACTGGGGACAAAAATAAATTTAAAAAGACCATTTTTTAGCTTGGACTTTAGCAAATTCCTTGAGAACTTTTTTTCTATATAGAGATTAAAGTAAGACAGTTCAAAAGAAAAAAATGCTGTCAGAATAGTGAAAGTTTTAAAGGGAAGAGAGAAGACAACAGCTCACACATGAGCATGTCTTTACTGGTAGGTTGGATACAAGTGACTGGAGTCCACATGCCCAGAGCTGGCATATCACTTAGCAAAAAGATCAGAATCTTTGAAGGCAGATATGCTTGTAAAGTTACAGTCAATCAATACTAATAACCAACCAAAGGAATTTACAAGATTTGTATGATGCCAGAAACAGCATAAATTATTGATTTAAAATAGAAATACTTCAGCATTATACTAGTGAAAAAGGAATAAAATAGATAGATTCAGACTTTATTATGGCCTTCTCACTAATGCATTTCGATGTTACATCTTCATGCCCACAGCAATCATTTTTAAAGAGGCATTTTTTAAAAAACCCCAAACATTAATATGCTATCTTAATTCCATGTTTTCTCTGTATTTAACTTTTTTTTGGTGTATAATTAGTTTCTTACACCCTGAAGGATTCCCTTCAACACTTTCCCCTTTTACATCCTCACAAACCGACTGCATTGCAGCCCAAATAGTTCTGATATAACAGCGTTTTGCTGAAGCTGGATGACCTAGCTGGGGAGGGAAGAAGGTTGTGGAGTGGCACAGATAGCATGTGGTTCCAATCACAAAGACAGAAGATCTAAAAATCAGGCTTTTCAGAATTATTAGTTAAACCAGCTACTTGTGCAGTAGATGGCAGCAGAAAACTAGTCAGCCTAGTTTTGGTTCCACTCCAGCAGTGCTGCTTAGGCTGTATTTGCTCATAAAGCTAATTCAGCTCTTGCCTTAACCTGCACAGCTTTATTAACTTTAATGGTGCTATGCATAACTGCAGCAGGA